AAATTTGCATCTCGCTAAAATTTCCACTCATACAGTATCATACCAGAACAATTTATAAGTTGCCAATAATGACAGAATTATTTCGTTTGTTATATTGATAAATAACCTTGATGGAGGCATCCTCTGAACCTGTAGCTATGAGTTTCCCGGAGGAGTGGAAGGCCCCCGCTCTACACGGTCCCTTGTGGGCAGTGACATAACAGGTCTCATACAGGGCTCCCTCTGGAGAAATGGACTGGACTAAAATCATAAAATAACTGTATTAATCTCTCTCATTATCTATTTCAACAATAAATATTTTAAATGTTTGTATTTCCTAAACCAATCTAATTAAACTGTGATCAATTTTACTTTATTGTATATCAGACATGCTAGAAATCTTGACTTCATCTGTCATGCACTTGTATGTGTGAATAAATTACCTTCTTTCATTAAATGGAAGACAATGTAAAATCATTATATGATGAATCAGTCATTGCAATTACTGAAATATTACCATCTGTTTCATACTCCAAGTCAATTCCTGAACCAGGAGCAATATTCTGTTCCCCTATTTTCTTATTTCCAGAAAGCTCTGAAACAAAAATAGAGAGAATCTTACACAAAGCATATTTAATTTCATGCTGAATATAGTAATTTTTTTATTCAATAATAATGTGAGCTACTACAGAGTACTATCATTTAACTACTGAATAAAGGGTAAATCCATCTTTATGGTTTAAGGTAAAAGTACTTCCTTATTCCCTAGTTATGTCCCATGATCCCCAAAATCAGCAGGATTTTGATAACATTTCTTTGAATCTCTAATGTAATGATGATACCATTTTCTCTTTTTAGCAGTTCAGAGAGTGTCTTTCAAGGAAATAAAAAAAAATCTTTGCACTTACCCTCTTCAGCATCTAATCCTAATTTGACAACTTTAAACAATCTGTCTGAAGGGGGACAGGCAGGGTGCGCTTTGACAAGGTTGGAGAGCTGAACCGCTAATTGCTGATGTCCATCATAAAATAACTGACTGTTTAAAGAAAATATTTATTACAATTAACGACATCAACACAGGATTTAAACAGAGAGACACTAAAACATGAATTGCATGGAAATTCTAGAGAGGCCAGAAACCATGACAAACTTGTTCTCCCTATACTTTCCATGCTATCCTTGAATTCCTCATTACATTGTGGGGTTAACAAGAGGCCCATGGACCATATAGGTCACCTGAGCATCATGTAACAACTTTCCAACAATTGAATTTGGCTCTTGTTTCAAACCAGAGGCCATGACATTCCAAATTTTGAAAGAAGCCTTTATACTCTTCTCTACGGCATGGAATAAACTCACTTGATTTGAATTTTCCGCAATCCGCCAATATCAAGGTGTCCATTGAGTGATTTTTCAGAGAATAAGTTGCAACCCAATCAATTTATGTTTTAGCCATCTTTTACATGAAATTCAACTTTTTAAAACTAATTAACTTAAATTCTATGTTTTACCATTGTGACAAAAAACCTTTAATACAACTGCATGCTACTTTCAACAAATAAAAGGGATAGCTGTTCAGATTTTTTCCCACATATAACTTTTAATTTTCAATATTATATGTCATAATAGCAAGCGTCGTGAAGCAACGCTCGTAACTGCGAGTTCTAATGACAACGCCAGGGCGAAGAGAAAATTCGGACTACTGCACATTCATTTCATAGAATTTTTTTCTGCAGTAATTTTGACCCACAATGCATCGCTTCGTACACAAGCTTCGTACACAAATGTTAAAGCCACGTTCTCACGAGAATAGCAACAAAAGTTAAAAGAAAAATAAACTTGCCTTGATTTAATGAATATATCTGATTATTGCAGAAAAATATTCATAAACTGATTGAAATCAGACCTGTTCAGGCTTCGGTTTGGTAAAGCAACATGCAAACGACGTCATGTGATGTCAGAGTCTTCTACGCACTGAACGTCACGTGCGGTTTAACGAGTACGATCTAAATGAAAACTGGATAAGTATCTGCGCTCGCCCTAACGGTCGCGCCGTCAACATATTATAACTCATTTCAAATCCTTTTGGGTCTTCTACAGGTCCAGTACAATCACTAGATTTAGCTACGTAGGTAGAACTACCTACGTAGCTTTATTTACTTACCTCTGGTAGCTTTATTTAGCTATTTCAATGCAACTTTTCAAAGTTTTTCTTTTTATTAAAAAGAGACAAAAAGTCGCAATTAAATGACTATTAATATTTATACTAGGGAGGTTTTAAAAAACAACCCAAAGCAGAGATAGTTTATACATTGCTGCATTTGGACAATTTAGAGCAAAACATGCAATTCCATTGTTTGGATAACTGTCCTTTCCAGTGGCGGATTTAAGGGGGGGCGCAGCCGGCGCGCGCCCCCCCTAAAATTGTCAAAGTTTGCATAAAACATAGTTTTGTTGAGAAAATGTTTAAAATGTCTACTCGGTAGACCTCATTTTTACCCTCCAAAACCTCTAGAATCCAAGAGCTTCCGGGGGCTTCACCCCCTGGGCCCCCACCAGGGCTTTGCCGTGGACCCACTGGGGGCCTCAAGGCAGCCCCCAGACCCCCTGCCTTAATCTGGCGCCCCCCCTAACTTCAAATCCTGGATCCGCCCCTGCTTTCTATTGTGTGCGGTGAGGCATGGCTGAGTATGATCACTTCACATTGTGCTGAATAATTACCGACCTATTATCATGTTAACCAGTCTAGACGAACTCCAAAAACGGCGTTAACGGAAGTGAGAATTTCAGTCCAGAAAAGACTCCAAAAAACGAGTCCAACGCATGCGCAGTTATATAAAAAACGGTGAAAAATCGTGAAAAGTGGGCTCTTATAAAAAGTGTTTTTGCAAAAAATTGGATTACCTTACAATAATGTAAGTTCTCAGAAATGATTAATAATAAATGGTTTTAGAGAACGTATTTGTTAGAATTTTGATTTCATGTGCAAATAGTTTTTAATTTCAAGTCAAAGTTGACCAACTTTGAGGTTCAGCCAGACATCGTACAAGTAGGATACAAAATACAAATTAAACAGTCGTAATCTTATGAAAACATCTCTGTGGTTAATAATTTGTTTGTAGTGACTAAGTTAGTCATTTAGAACTACTTTTACTGATTTTAGAAGTTTATTTATAAGTAAGGAACGCTGGCGAATTTTCAGTTCGAATTTCCTCTGTTTTTCATGTCTATCGTGTACGAATGAATTTCAGCATGTTTAGATCACCAATGAGCAACTGCATTGTAAATACATCTTACCAATAATTAAAAAAGTACTGAATTGATGATTTTAATCATAAATAAGAGTCGATCAGGTGACAGTTACATGAGAATCCATTCAGTTTCCACATTTCCTCCGAGGCTTTTTTGAAGAAAGTTCACGTTTCAAGTTAGATCAAATACAAAGAAAAATAAACGTTTGGGAATTAAATATGATAAAAGGAAAAAATATGTAAAATTGAAAAATGTAATATATATGTTGTAACTGTGAAACATTGACTGAATTTTTACCTATTTGTAATATTATTTCGTCATATAATCCTGTATGACATCTGAATATTGAGAGCGTTAGTTATCACCATCGCTATATACTAATGTTTTCACATATGAATAGATATAATCATGAAAACATTTTTAGAATTATAATCTATGAGTTTAAGAACTTAAAAAAATCATTCTTTTAAATTACGGTTAAAAAGTCTTCTCAAATCGAACCTGTTAATATCTCTGCTCCGCCGCCAAAATTGTGCGGTTTTTCATTAAAAAAAAAAAAAAAAACGATATATAAGTGTCTTAGAAGTAAAATCTAAGCATCTTTATAGTAGGAATGGCATAAAATTTAAATCAAGGGGACAATAAATTAAGTTAGAAAATTAATTCTTACCGACTTTATTGAATCCCGGTGTCGTACGTATATCCCAAATCACTATTATGCAAGAATACAGAGCGATAAATAAGTCAATAACCACTTAATAATTTAATGGGTACAATTATTTATTCAACAAAAATTGAAATCCAGTCACAGTTTACTAAATACAGCCATTATTCAGTCGTATTTGTGGAGAAAGCGAACGACAATCCATCGTTTGTTCACATCGGAAGCCATTTTGCCGCAATGCATGACGGAGCCAAAGACTTATTTTTTGGAGTTCACGCCGTTTTTGGAGTTCGTCTAGACTGTTAACCAGAACTGGACTTCTTTGTCATTTCATTTCAGGAGTAACTGTTCTAACTGTCATACATAGCCCTAAAACTTTCAGAACTTTGATTGCAATTGCGCAGAAAAAGACATTTCTTCAAGAGTGATTTTTTCATGAATTATTTTCAGATGAGTTTGAAGTTAAAAATGATCACTGCATCAGATTGGGATTTTTGCACATCCTGAGAAAAATGTTTTTTTTTATAGATATAAATTGATCTGGTAGCTAAATAAAGCTACCTCAGGTAGTTAAATAAAGCTAAGTAGGTAAATCAAGCTACGTAGCTAAATCTAGTGATTGTACCAGACCTGTTCTATGGTAAATCGCCTTGCCCTGTACAATTGAAAATATCAAGCTCTTTCCATATTGTTCCATAGACAAAATGATTCCAGTACACATAGAATATATGTACTTTGTGTCTGATAAGCTTTGAAATCATGTAAATGTAACTGTATTTATTACTACATGTAATCCCCCCCCCCTCCTTCCCTCATTTTATAATTGAACCAACGTCTGACATACCTGATCATCAGTCTGTACATTAATTCTCTGTTTTTGACTTCAGAGTCGCCTCCTATTGCACCAATCATGATTGCTCTAGGTTGTAAAATATTACCACTCTGGGCAATATACACAACTCAGATTTGCAAACGCGTTGTTTTCCCGGAAGTAAGTGATTTTCGTCGAAGTCTATTCAGTGTTTAGAAATATCATATTTAGTCTACATCCTTGTGAAGCACCATAGTGATCATGATTTGTAATGAAAACGCTGGCCAGAATCTTAGTCAGCAGTAAAGCTGACGTGTACATAACAATATTTGTTTAATTCATGATGTAATACTTTTCTTATTTATATACAAAATACAACATTCTCTTTAGATCACTTCAATACAACTGTCATTCGCTGTAGAGCTTGTGTATCGATACTGATCAAAGGTGAGAAGGTAGGTTCCTGGGTACTTCTAAAGCTGTAAAGATTTATCTAAAACACAAATGACAATATGCTTTTGATTTTAATTTTAAAAAATGTTTTAGTTATCGTGATTTTCATATATTTTTCTTAAACTTGAACATACTTTCGTAATAAATAATTGTATTTATATACTACTAACAGTATCAGCATGGTGTGGGTTTCAATCAGGTTTAATGGTTTAGCACTGTTTAGTTACTGTAAATCACTTTTTATTCATGAGAACTTTATTTTCGCATAATTATACAACTGTGTACCGTATCTATGCTCATGAAAATTTCATTCTCCCCTACATTTGCATAAGTAAGAATTATATACAACAAAGTTCATAGCTCACATAAATTTTTTCTAGCTAATTTAAAAATGCCAGGGAGCTATATACTAACAGTTAGTATATAGGTCCCTGAAAATACCAAACAGCTATCTCACGAAAACAAGGTCTTGCAAAAATATAGTGATCTACAGTAGTTACTATTAACTAAATATTTTTGAAGACAGATTTTATTAGTTAGAATAATCTAACTGTGTCTCGGTACAAGCCCTCACCACAATTAAACCGGGTCCGTAGGACAATATCATTTTAACGATAGAACATTCTATCTAAGATTTTATTTGTGACCATTTTATTTTATTTTTATTTTACGACATAGTTTGATATGATTCAGGTTTTTATATTCACTTTTCATTGATTGCTTTGCAGCTTGAAGTTTATTTGAATTAAGAAAATGGAGGTTATCAGCATTGTCATATTCATCATAATTGGTTTCTTCATCTGGTATTGTTGTGGAGGATCTTCATCAAAATCTGCCTCCTCCTCCTCTTCCTCGGAGAACAAACTTTACCCAGACCTGAGTAAGATGAAGAGTAACAGCCTATTCAGCATGTTTGGGGGCAGTAATTACTCCAGTTTTGTGGACAGGTTCACCTCATTAGAGGATGTCACTACTGCAGTCAGAAAGGCTGGGCTAGAAAGCTGTGGACTGATATTTGGTGAGTCTTTGGAATAAACAGATATATGCTTTATTTGTTATGTTTTCTTAATCAAAAACTGCATTAAGACTAAGAGTTATCCAGTATTAAGCTAATAAATCTGGTATAAGATTTTATAGATGTTTTTTTTCTTTTTCATTTCTCTTTTGTTGTGTTGTATTTGAAATACATGCACAGTGTCATATATATACATATTGTTAAAAAATGTTAGAAATTAATTGACCTCATTAAACATATAAGTTATAAGAACATTTTGTAGGAATGGATTTTACATCAAGTAATATGTACCAAGGGACTAAGACATTTGGAGGGAAAAGTCTTCACTGTTTAGACCCTAGGGAACCCAACCCCTATCAGAGGGTAGGCAAGACTCGTAGCATATTTAAAACCCTCTCAGAGGGTAGGCAAGATTTATAGCATTAAGACTTAGGTTCTGCTAGCCAATGTGATGCAAACAGTCAAATGTTAGTCATGAGTAATTAAAAATTTTGGGTATTGATCATCTGAAAGGTTTCATATGGAAGAGACTTGTAGCTTTTTCCTGTGAAATTTTGCAATCTCTATCTACCTCAGTCTGTATGCACTGTTTAAATAGTTCTACTAACATGCATAATGAAGAAAACCCTTCCTGAAAAAGTAATAAAAAATCCTCCTTTAAGTGTCTAGGAATATTTTAAGAATTTGATTCCCAGAGGTTTAGTATAATAATCCATGTACGTGTAATAATGATCAATAAATTAATAGAATATACTTGTACGTGTATTTCAAATGCATGCACTACACACAATTGCTTGTCAAATGGGCACCCTCCCATTTCAGCAATTCAAGAGATTGTGACCTTTGTGTACTTGACAGGTATAGATTATACTGCCAGTAATGCCTATCAGGGTCAGAGAACTTTTGGAGGACAGTCCCTCCATTCTATTGGCAAGATGTTTCTTAATCCATACCAACAGGTAGTACTAATCACAATTATAGAGCTTCAATTTGTTATTCTTTATTTTGGGTTTGGTCTGTTACTTTGTTTTAAGATCAGAATTATAAAACTTAACATGAGGCATAAATAATCAATGAAATAAATAGCAGTTAAGTTATTTATAGTTAATAGTATGGCAATAATTTGACGTTTGCTTGAATAGTGGAAAAGCATGTGTAGTTTGCATCACATTTTATGGCTTTAGGGACATTAAAATCTGTTTTTTCTACATTGATTTATTAGTTTAAACAAACTAGAGCTATTTTTATTAGCCAAAGGCCACTTTTCTTCAAGCTAGAGTCATCTTTTTAAAGCAGTGAGGCACTTCTTTTTGATTAGAGTTGTCTCTCTGTACAGAGGGGTGCCTCTTCTCAAGCTAGAGTTATCTGTCTTAGATGATGAGTGCTTCCCCTTAAGCTAGAGTTATCTTTCCTAGTGGATGGTGTTACTAACACTATTACTCCTTAAGCTAGAATTATCTTTCTTAGCAGAGGGTTATGCCTCCTTAAGCTAGTGCTTTTCTTAGTAGATCACTTCTGTTTTTGTTGCTTCCTCCTTTTTACTGCATTTCCCCTTGAATATCATGATTTTAATGTTTGCCAAATGCAGGTCATATATAGTATAGAGGACTCTTCTAATTTTTTTAAAAAGATAACTGCATGTTTAGCATGTGGTTGACTGTTGTAAATGATACAGTGTATTAGTATATAATGTTTTACATTGAATTGTTTTCAGGTGATTTGTATCCTTGGTGAGACACTGGAATCATTTGATGATGACGGTAAAATTCCAGCATTTGGATTCGGTGATGCCTCAACTAAGGATAAAGCTGTATTCCCATTCAGAGCAGAGGTTCTTGTGACTTTTGATAAAATACATGAAATTGATAAAATACAAGAAATAGAATTGTTTTTTTTAATTTTCAGTAATATTTGAATTGTCTGTAAGATATATATTTGAAGTACATGTACAATGTTCTATACCATTCTACTTTATAAGCTTACATCCAATTGCACTCTATTTCTCAAAAATAAATAATTCATCAAAGAACTCCAGCTGACTTTTAGTTTTGATTTACAGGGCTATTGTTACGGTTTCCATGACGTCCTGGAGATGTACAATCAGATAACACCAAACATTCGGCTCAGTGGAGGAACCAACTTTGCTCCCCTTATCTACAAAGCCATAGATATTGTAAAACACGAGAGATCGGTAGGTGTCACACATTCTCGTAATGCTTAAACAGCATGTTATTATTAGATCAATGTTTCATAAAAAATGAATCAGATTTTAGGTTAATGCTTTTAATTATGAGTAAATGATTTCTCTTTCAGTATCACATTCTCGTCATTGTTGCTGATGGACAGGTGACCAATGAGAGAGATACTATAAACGCTATAGTCGAGGCCTCCAGTTGGCCATTGTCAATCATTATGGTTGGAGTGGGAGATGGACCCTGGGATATCATGGAGGATTTTGATGACCGTTTACCCCGAAGGAAATTTGACAATTTTCAGTTTGTAGATTTCCATAAGATTATGACAACAGCCAGAAATCCACAGGCAGCATTTGCTCTTCATGCACTCATGGAGATTCCAGACCAATTCAAGACAATTAAAGACAGGGGCTTACTTAATTTCTAGTCAGAGATTTGTAGCTTATGTCTCGTATGTGTACAGGAGAGGGAGAGTTTAGAAAACAGAGAAAATGTACTTCTTCTTAACCCTAAAATAACGAGATCATGAGAGTTGCATGTTTTCATCTGTGCATGAGAAGATTTAACTTAACATTGATTTTAGATAATGGATCTTTCAGTGAACTTGGAGAAAGGTTATAGTTTCACCTGACAATATTGCAAAAGTTTGTGCATTATTGAGTACCTGATGTATATACCAGTTTAATTAGGATCAGGCTTATGATCCATGAATCTGGAGGGTGTGCTGCCCTGCGGTACATGACAGACATGCAGAAATACTTGCAAAAATACTTCATCAGTTGTTTTGTCTGTTTGGGAGGACTCACCCCTTTTGCAGGTTACAAGTACCTAGAAGAAAGCAGGATTTTAATGTCTATAAGAGGTCACTTTACAATGTAGAGAAGAAAGACCGATGAAGTACATGTATATAAAGAAATACTAGAGATTTTCATTAAAAAATGCAGGTAAAAAGATGTGTTGAAGGTGTAAAATGCCTGAGTGCCCTATATTATTGATTCATTTTATTGTTGATTTTTTTGTTCATGCATCCTCTGTTTTTTTTTTCTTCATTTTTTAAAAAACAGAATACATCATAATACCGGTAAAACCATTCCTTGTTAAAATGGAACAAAGAATATAAGTATTCCTTCCACTTTTATACTATTATACTATTATACTGTAGCACAGCTTTTTGTACAGAGATGTATTTTCAAATAAAAACCAAAGAAAATATGTTCATTTGTTGTACATACTAGTATGGCGAATTAATACTCTGCTATTTGGTATAGCTACAGATGTTAAGTTGAAGCCAGGAAAAAAAAAACAACCAAGAAATGAACTGGGCTTGGAATATCGGTACTCCCATACATATTTTTTATCTTTAGAAAAAAAGAGTATAAAACAATGCATATATCTCATGTTTTGATTTGTTATAATGTAACTCATTTAAATACAGTGTAGGTCAATATAAGTAATCAAATTTCTGTTTTCAAATGGAATAATTTGCAGTTGAATATATTATACACCTATTTACTGGCTATGAGGACAATAGCAAGTTTATCGTTCCCCAAGACAGAAACTATTTCCCGAGGCGCAGCCGAGGGAAATAGTTTGCTGTCGAGGGGGACGATAAACTTGCTATTGTCCGAATAGTCAGTAAATAGGTGTTTTATTATACCGATGCTGACTTAACTTTTGTTAACGTTTGGGAGTCCAGGGTACACACAATTATGATATTCCATATTATACCGATGCTGACTTAACTTTTGTTACGTCATAATACATACGCGTCACAATCCGTATAAAACCAGAAGTTTTCCGAGATGAAAAGTGAGGGAAACAGAATGCTGCCGCTGAATAGTTTGATGACTATTTCACCATGGGCAGATAGCACAAAAACTATTTCACAGTAGGGGCTGTTTGGAAAAGATAGCATGTTTATTCGTCATGTTTTTATATTGAACAAATTCACAGAGGTATAATAAACATGTATATAAAACAATAGCCTTACAATTAGTATGAATTATCATATGTCTTTCAAGATATGATCCAAACAAAGGGTTGGATTTGCAAGTCATTTTAAAGAATTTAATACATGCTGCCATTGCTGAAAGTCTTGTAACATCAGCTTGTTAATCAGTAGCTGCGTCAGTTAAAAAAATATTTTACTTTCAGCATGCTTTTGCAAACTGAATCCCAGGAGAAATGACACTGAGATATACACAGCCAATGACAGGTGCGAATGTATGAGCCAATGGTGGGACCACTTTCTGTAGAAAGAGCAGCCAGATAAAATCTAATTTGATCTAATTGGCTAGAAGATGCAAAAAACTTTCATTAGAAAATTAGAGATACTGTGATCAGTGAGCTTACTATATGATATCCAGCCTCCCATGTGATTATAATGGCAAAGTCCATTTGTTGCCTTGGTAGACCCGAACTAAGAGTCAGATCAAGAAGTAAAATAGGAGGTGCACAATGGCATTATTTAATAAAGAATCTGTTAAAGTCCCATTAAATTTTATTTTGTGATAAAGGAGGAGTTGCGGATTAGTGATGGTTACCCTTAAATATTTAGAAAAAAATGGTAGTGTCAATGTTTTGCTAAAGGAAACTCGAAATATGTCTCTGATCAAAAAGTAAAATAGGAGGTGCATATTGGCATTATGTAAAAAAAATCTATGAATGTTTCATTAAATTTCATCCAGTGGCATATGAGGAGTTGCGGAAAAGAGATACCCTCAAAGCGTAACAGACGAAAGGATGGACGTACAAATAGACGGATGAACGTCCCGATCGCTATATACCCTTCCACTTTTCAAGTGGGGGTATAATAATACCTGCAGTTTGAAGTATAATATGTTTGTTTTTGGATACTCTTCCTCATATTGTGGTTGAATATGACGTATCGGCACTTGTTCAACAAAAGTCATTTAATTTTTTAGCCAAAATACTTTGCCAAACGTTATTATAGCCCCCACTACCGTAATCGGTATGTCCGTCTGTCTGTACGTCCGTCCGCCCGTCTCTCTGTTACGCTTTGGGGTACCCATCTCTTATCCGCAACTCCTTTCATACCACAATATTAAAATTGATGAAACTTCCAAAGGAACTTTGTTGCATATTGCCATTGTGCACCTCCTATTTTACTTTTTGATCCGACATATATTTTGGGTTTTCCACAACAAAACATGGACACTGCCATTATATTCATATGTGAGGCGGGGGTATCATTTAGTGAGCTATTTGCTCACTGTACCTCTACTATTCTGTTGATAAATCTTGCCAAAAAAAACCGTTTAAATTTATGGTACTTTTAACTGATGTATTCATCATTTTACAAAAAAATTAGAGGACATAATTTTGAGAAACAAATCTTTGAAAATGTGGCGGTGAACCTGATTTCCTGGGATTTTTTTCAAAATAAGAAAAGAAAACCTATTTTTGAAGACGATTTGAGTTCGTACTTTTTGCTGGGATGAAGTTGCCGATAGGCACTACCGTAACCACCTCGACGCCTGCTTTGCACGCTCTCACAGAATCTTTTTTATTTAGTGCCATTGTGCTATGAACAACCTAGTGAAAGGAGGAACCCTCTTCACACATCGTGATATCCACTAGCTGACCTGGAACTCATGCAACAAATGGAAGGGACAAGAACCAGATTGACCATCTGATGATTAATGGCATGTGAAGACGCTCTCTATTAGATGTTAAGGTCACGTGAAGTGCAGATGAAGGCAGCGACCACCATCTGGTGACAGCTCTCATTAAGATCAAACTGAAGATTGCCGAGGTAAAGCCTAACTTTCAAGCACGCTTTTACATTCAGAGACTGTGGGACAACAAGGTGAAAGCTGCCTACGTCAGCGATTTAAGGAACCGATTCCAATTTTTGCAAGACATGAAGGTGAGGATACCATTGTAGACAACACATGGAAACAAGTGGTCCAATTGTACGCTGAAAGCAGCAAAGAGAAACTAAGGCTTCGCAAGAGGAACACTAACAAAGACTGTATCCAGCAGGAGACTCTGATTGCTATAGAGAAGAGAAAGGAAATCAGGAAAAAGATGCTGCAGATCAAGTCCCCACGACTGCGTGAGAGGCAAGAGAAGCTATATAGTGAGGCTAACAAGAGAGTCAAGAAACCTGCACGCCGAGACAAGAGAGAAGCCATCGACAAACTTGCAGTAGAAGCAGAGGAAGCGGAAGTAAAGGGAGAGCAAGGGAGAGTATACAAGATCACAAAACGAGTGTTTGGTAAATTTAGAGGAAACACAGAAGGACCTATCAAGAACAAACACGGAGCACTGCTGACAACAGGAAAAGAATAAGAAGAGAGATGGGCTGAACACTTCGGTGAAGTATTTAATCGACCATCTGATGAAACAGTTGTCATACCAGAAGCCATGCAGGATCTGGACATTGACACTGACCCATCAACTAAGGATGAAATAATAGATGTAGTCAAGACCCTTAAGAACGGGCGTGACAATCTTGATGCAGAGCTATTTAAAGCAGACCCTGGAATCGCAGCCACCATCCTCCAACCACTCTTCACAGCTGTGTGGGAAGGAGAGAAAGTACCTGGGGTGATTATCATGATCCCAAAAGAAAGAAACCCTGAGTGCTTGCAACAGTAGGAGGGTAATCACTCTACTATGTGTGCCAAGTAAGATCCTGGTCAAGGTAATCATCAGAAGAATGTCTAATGCTGTTGACTTTGTATTGAGGAAAGAGTAAGCTGGATTTAGGAAACATCGAGGATGTACTGACCAGATCCTTGCACTCCACAACATCATAAGCAGTGCACAGAGTGGTAGAGACAACTGTATGTTAGCTTCCTGGACTATGAAATGGCATTCGATAGCATGCACCTAGAGAGCCTATGCAACATCTTACATCATTATGATATTCCATCCAAACTGGTCCACATAATAAAGAGCTTTTCTAACAACTTTAGATGCTCAGAAGGACACAATGACACCTTTTTTTGATGTTAAAATAGGATTCAGAAAAGGATGCGTAATGTCTGCACTATTATTCAACTTAGTCATCAATTTGGTCATGTGGAGGACATCAGAATACTCTCCAAGGGTAATCCGCTGGAGCATGTTCTCAACATTGGAATATAAACTCTTCACATATTCTGTAAAATATTTTAAGAATATAATTAAAGTGGAAATTTTATTCCAAAAATAATGACATAAAACATATATATCTGGACTTTGCGGATCACCTTGTGCAAATGTTTCGCATAAGTATGTAAAATCAAGCCGAAAATGTGGAATTGCCTGCTCATGTTAAGGTCAATAGCGAAGAACTACGCTAGATGGGTAACTTTTTTACCTGGGTAGCATCATTACACCGGAGGGCGACACAAAGGAGGACTTACACAGCAGACTGGGCAAGGCCAGGAGAGTATTGAGTATTTAGAGAAATGAATAACATTTGGAGGTTTGCAGAGTAAGCTTTATCAGAGCTATCAACTCTTCTATATGGATCGAAATGCTGGAGAATTACAGAGACAGATCTTAGCAAATTACTATCCTTCCACACCACATGCCTCAGTCAAATACTTGGGATTTTCTGGCCCGAGAGGATTACAAATGAAGACCTGCTGAGCAGGTGTAAACAAGAGGACATGAGTACCATCATTATCAAACGCCGATGGAGATGGAGATGGATTGGACATGTTCTGCGAAAAGACCCCCCAGTCAACAACAAGGACGGTACTCCATTGTATCCTAGAGGGCAAAAGAAAGGGGGAGGCTTTAAACATCATGGCGAAGGACAGTTGAAAGCGAGATGAAAGCTATGCATTAGACGTGGGGATCATTGACAAGGCTGGCCCAGGATAGAAAAGAGTGGAGGAGTTTGTTGCTGCCCTACCACAGGGTTTAAAGGACGATGATGATTTTTATGCACCTCCTATTTTACTTTTTGATCGGACACATATTTTGGGCTTCCCAGAGCATACATGAGCTTGGACATTTTTTCTATAATATTGAAGGGCACCCATCTCTTATCCGCAAGTCCTCCTTTACCACTGAATAAAATTTAATGATACTTTCACAGATTCTATTTCGGGTTTCCCAGTGAAAGATATGGACTTTGCCATTATAACCATATGGGAGGCGGGGGTATCATTTAGTGAGCGTATTGCTCACAGTACCTCTAGTTTTTTAGAAGAAAAATGCCGGTTTTTCTCTTTGAGACAAAATAGCTGTGTATTACACTCATCTCCATCATTCCATGTTTCAGTGTAATTTTTTGGGGGGGGGGGGGGGTTAAAATCGGGATAACTATAGTACATAAATTTGTTTCATGAAGACTCACAATTTCGCACGAAAACACCAACCTTTCTATTTACCCTCTCCTTTGAACTGCAGCAGCAAGTCGCACTGGTAAACTGCATAGATCCGTGCAGCAAAAGCCCATAGACTATCTGCGCTGGCCGGATAGTCTAGGTTTACCGAGACAGACTCTTCATAGCCATATGGCAATTGCCACTTTTCTGTACCTGCGCTGGCTATTAGAGGTTGCTGAAGCAGACTACCTACAGCACAACAGAAACACCCCTTGACTTCCTCTATTTGCCGCCCGAGGTTGCCAAAGCAGAGTGCCAAGAGCAGTACAGCAACCCCTCTCGATTACCTGGGCAGACCACCCGAGGAGTCTGAGGAAGACTGGCCAGTGCCCCACGGCAATCGAACCTCGACTACTTATGGGCCGCAAGGGTCGACTAGACAGTGTAGGGCTGTTCGACAACCTCCACTCGACGACTTCACTGGTATTTTAAGTTTCAAAGGCAGATTAGTCATATTCCTTTAGCAGCCGCCACTCGAATACTAGTACTAGAACTGGCCATTCGAACATAGCGAACAAAACTGTTCAAAGTCGTATTGACTACCTGCGTTGACCGTCCGAGAAGGCTTGATCATGCAGATTGTAAAGACTCGTATACAAAACCTCCCCTCGACTACCTGCATTGGCTGTATGAGACAACGAAGATGCCCAAACACCCCAAAGTCATGCGACAGCTACACCTCGACTACCTGCGCTGGCCGCCTTAGGTTGCCGAGACCGATTGTTAAGAGCAGTGTGGCATCCGCCTCTAGCTCGACTACCTTCACTGGCTTTAAACTGCCCAGAGCTCTGTGGCATCTGCCTGTAAATGGCCTTCCGAGACAGATCCCCAGTCACTGCCTAGATCATTACAACAATTGCCATTCGACTGCCTGCGCTGTAAGCTCAAAAAGCTTTGCTGAGATGGAACTGCCAATTTTAAGAACCCTACGACATGCAGCCGCCCCTCGACAATCTGTGCTTGTCGTGAGTTTCCCAAGGCAGAATATAAAATGTTCTAAGGTAGCCATTCCTCGACTATGTGCGGCGGTCATCAGAGTTTTCCAAGGCAGACTGTGAAATGTTCTTAGGCAGCCGCCCTTCAAGCACTGCGTTGGCCGCCCGAGGTACCGAGGAAGATTGACCAGAGCGGTACGGTTACCTTCTTCGTTTGCCTGCGCTGGAAGTCTGAAGTTGCTGGGGGAGATTATGGAGAACCCTAGGGAATCCGCTCGTCTACTAGCTTGATGACGAGACAGACTATCCAGAGCTGTGTGACAACCTCTTGTGTATATCTTGAGATTAAAGGTTGCCACAAAGGGCCTCCGTACAAGAAGGAAGAAAAACACAATGGATGAGTTAAGGAGCTTTCTTACTGAACATCAAACTCTGATCGCAAGTCTGATCGTCACAGGTATACATTATATAAATATCACTACCTCATTTACATGTCTTAATACTTAATTTTGTTGTAACCGACATTTAATTTACGCTTGCTTTGAAGCAAAAAAGAAAAGAACATGAGTGATGCGTATGTCGATCTATGCAATAATTTAAAGAACGCAAACTTATCGAAAAATGAGTGCATATGATTCGAAAAATGGAGCATGAGTTTTGATATATCAAAAATAGAACACCGAAGTCCTCATCGATTTATAACTCAGATGGGTTCAATTAGAGGAACGCATTAAAAAGCTACGGTCTGCCTTTTAAACCAAAAATAACTATTATTAAACGTTTCACCAACGGGTAGCCTACATTGTGTACATCCATTTCTCCGAATTGGCAACGCATGTGACAATGTTTACGGATAACACATTTTGCCGATAATTTTCATTTGTAAAATTGTTTAACGGTAATCTCAGTTTCTATAGGTTTTGCTATAAATCCCTATTTGTTGACTGAAATTACATTTGTTAACCATGTCAGTTAAAAGTTGTTATTCATAATTACACGATTGAAACTAGAGGTACTCTAAAGCACTGAGCTCACTAAATATGATACCCTCCGTCTCAAATAATGGCAAAGTCCATGTTTTGCTGTCGGAGACCCGAAATAAGTGTCAGACCAAAAAGTAAAATAGGAGGTGCACAATGGTATTACATCAAAAGAATCCTTTTACAGTAAATATATTCAGTGGTATAGGAGGAGTTGCGGATATTAAAGAGGTGGGATGAGGTGCGCATTCAATATTATAGAAAGAATGGCAATGTCATTGTTTTCCTATATAAAGGAACCCATTAAATGTATGTCAAATCGAAAAGGAAAAGGACACAATGTAGCAAAGATTCTATGAAACTTCAAAGTCTTACTGAGATGGGTAACACAAAGCACAACACGGTGGCTCAGTCGGTAGAACGCTCGCTCCGTGGTCGGGAGGTCGTGAGTTCGTATCTCGGCCGCGACTGACCCAGTTGATAAAATGGGTAGCAACTGTTCCTTCGTCATGCGCTCGGCACTTTGAAGTGAAAGTTGCGGGTCCTTCGGATGAGACCTTAAAAACCGAGGCCCCGTGTCAGCATTATAAAGATCCCTCACTGCTCAATGACCCTGAGTGCCGAGTAAAGGTCAAAATTTGAAGCCCTTCACCGGCATACGGTGGCGTCTCCATATAAGTGAAAAATTCTCGAGAGGGACGTTAAACAATGTACAATCAATCAATCAATCAAAAGACAACAAACGGGCGGAAGGACATCCCGATCTCCATATACTAGTACCTCCCACCTGTCAATGGCGGCGGGGGTGGAGGTGGGTGAGGGTGTTTTGTAAGTTGTCCTTTAGAGGCAAGAAAACAGTGAGGGCCCCCCTCTCACCATTACGTGCAAACTCTAGACAAAGTACCAGTATAATGCTACGACAAATGAAGAACTAACGTTAGATAGAAGAGAAAGTAGTAGTCCAGGATGTCCGATTCGAAAAACGATCGGAATTGTAAGTGGGATAGTTTTGTGGTAGCCTTATACCCATTAGATTCTGTCTTTTGTCTTCAAAACGTTCTACTGAAAATTAAAGCTTGTAGGACGTCTCATTTTTCTTTTTTATTTAAATTCTGTTTTTTTCATCTGAGACATTATTTTTCCTGTTTAGGGGTGACGTTGTATTTGTTTCGACTGTGGGCGGCAGGTGGGAAATGTTACAGTAAAGCTCGCCTTGATGGGAAGACGGTTATCATCACAGGATGTAACACGGGGATAGGGAAGGAGACCGCTATCGATTTAGCAGGCAGAGGTATGTGACTGGATTTCATTAAAAAAAAAAAAAAAACGATCCTGAGTTTGATTCAGGAAATTTTTTTTTTTTTTTTGCATTTTTGCATGGAAGAGAGAGAGAAAAAGTTTTGAAAGAGGAAGTCTTTCTTTGTGTGTCTGTTGAAAAAAAAAACTAGAAAAATACAGTAAATTCATAAGGTTTTATCTATGAATGTTTGAAAATCAATAATATTCCGATTTAGGAGCCAGGGTGATCATGGCGTGTCGTGACCGGAGTCGCGGAGAGAAGGCGTTAGCTGACGTTATAGAAAGGACCGGAAGCAAACAAGTCCTCCTGAAGATTCTTGATCTGGCCTCACTGGATTCCGTGCGAAAATTTGCTGAGGACATCAACAAAACGGAACCAAGGCTGGATATTTTAATAAACAATGCAGGTCGTATTCTCAGTTTTCAAAACAAGGTACTATATAGATGTGATCGAAGCATCTTTGCTAGGACATCTGTATTGTTTTGTTCCGAATAATCAAACCAATAAACTTCAATTTATTTAAATTTTTTTTTCAAAATAGATTTACAAAGTCTACAAAATATGTTGTTAAAGTTTTATTGCCGAAAAATCTCTTTAAGGATTTCATATTTTACCAAATAATTTCTCTACAATGCTCAAAAATTAATATAATGACTGATTTAACCATATTTAAAAATAAAATACATGTAATTTCTTTGAAATGTAAGGAATCAATGCGTTCCATTTAGCGTAGGAGAACAAAACAACTTATTAGTAGCAAAACAACAACAACAACAAAATCCGACAATAATACAACTCAGAAAGGTCATCAATACGATCGACCCCTAAAAATTTCAGAGGTAAGATAGATGCCAAGAAAACGTAGGCATCGTCTGTCAGGGACAATTTTTAGTGTGAGGCGGGCTGCTCTCTGTCGAGTTAATGATTTGGGACTAGTTTAGGGTCGGCGTTTTGTGGATTCTATGGTCATTGTGGTGTAGCCGTTTGTAGAGGATCCCGATAGGTACCTGATCCTCTCTCTGTAATTTCTGGGGCTCCTTGTTTTTTGCCATGATTACAACTTTGAATTATTTGTAGATTTTTGATATCCATCACTAATCTTATCTTCATATTTTTAATTCAGTGGACATTTGAATTTGATTGTTGTTCCTTATCGTCATGTTTCGTCTATAGGAGTGATGATTTGTCCATACATGAAGACTGCTGATGGGTTTGAAATGCAGTTTGGAACAAATCATCTCGGTCATTTTCTGCTGACCAATCTTCTATTGGATAAAATAAAGAAATCCGCCCCAGCAAGGATTGTCAACGTGTCCTCTCTGGCACACATTTGTAAGTGCTACCGCTACTGTGCATTTGTTTTCAGGACCAGTATTGAAATAAATGTCTACTTCCATTTTTTAAATGTATTAAGTTAATATTTTTATTCAGTTTAATATTATTTTTTTTTGTTATCTGCACTAAGAGTTAAGGCTAGTTCCTTAAACTCAAGGAAGTCGTATAGTGCAAGTACCAGTCATGAACAGATGTTTTTAATTGTGGATATCAGTATAAATATCTATTTTTCTTTTATTCTTCCATCTGTCTATAGTCACGGACAAAATAAATTTCGATGACATCAATAGTGAAAAGAGCTACAGTCGAGTTCAGGCGTACGCACAGAGCAAACTGGCTAACATATTGTTTTCTAGAGAGCTCAGTAAAAGACTCAAAGGTAAATTACAGAATATAGGATGAAATGGAAAGATTAGTCTCAATAAAATGCTTCATCCAGTAAGTGTTCTATATAGCTATACCCACGAATCGAAGATTCACAGGGATATTCATAACAACTTAAAATTCTCTTGATTCCCATTGCATACTTGAGATCTTGTTCATTTTTAGTTTTCGTTTTTGATATTCTGCATTTGTCACTCATGTCGTTACTGAATTAATCATTAGGTCAAAAGAATTGAAAAATAACACTTTTTTTTTGAGACATTGCATACATTGACGTAAGATACTAGTAGCTTTATGCACGCTTCATCTCCTTTCAGGGACAGGCGTGACGGTCAACTCTCTGCACCCCGGGTCAGTGGTGACAGAGTTACAAAGATACGTCCCCGGATATAAGATTATATGGCCACTCATTACCCTGATTTTCAAAACTCCAAGGGAAGGTGCACAGACTAACATTTACTGCGCTGTTGACGAAAGTCTGGATAACGTCACTGGAAAATATTTCAGGTACTAAAAAATTGTCAAATCTCATTTGATAGTCCTGATCGTATTTGAAGAAATTGTGAGCAATATGAATAAATTGTGTGACATATAATTTTGGTTTCCCATAGTAAAACATGGACACTGCCATTCTTTCTATAATATTGAAGGTTGCCAATCTCTAAATAAGACTCTTATACAGTTGTACACAACTCCTCGTATACCACTGAATAAAATTTAATAATACTTTCACATATTCTTTATTACATAAAGCAAGTGTGCACCTTATATTTTACTATTTGATCTGACACTTATTTCGGGTCTTTCAGAGCAAAACACGGACTTTGCCATTACCATCACATGTGAGTCCGTGAGGGGGGAGTGGGGTATCAATGAGTGAGATCAGTGCTCTCAGTACCTTTAATTTGTACTGCGTCAGTTCCTGTTGTCCTTAGATCAGATGTGGTCTAGTGGTTAGGATTTCTGGTTTTAATAAAAGATAAAAAAAAAAAAAAAAGGATTTCTGGTTTTCACCCAGACGGCCCGAGTTCGATTCCCGGCATCAGAACGACACTTTTTTTCACGGGTGCTAATTTTATTCCCCCCGCTTGAAAATTAATGGGAGGGTGTATAGTGATCGGTATGTCCGTCCGTCTGTACGTCCTTTCATGTTACGCTTTGGGGTACCCATCTCTTATCCGCAACTCCTCTGATACCACTGAAAGAAATTTAATGAGATTTTCACAGAATCTTTAATGTACATAGTGCCAATTTGACCTTGTATTTTACTTAATGATCCGACATATATTTTGGGTTTCCCATAGCAAAATTTGGTCACTGCCATTCTTTCTTCAATATTGAAGGGTACTTATATCTTCTATCCACAACTCCTCTAATCCGCAACTCCTCGTATATCACTGAATAAAACTTAATGATACTTTCACAGATTCTTTTTAAATACATTATACCATTGTGCATCTCTTATTTTACTTTTTGAGCTTGAGATAAAAGATACCGCAGAGTCTGACACTTCTATTCCATATATGGATATTTTACTTGAAAAAGATGTTATGGTAATCTAACAACCAAGCTTTATGATAAACGTAATGACGTTAACTTTTTAATCGTCAACTTCCCTTACTTATGCAGCAATATACCTTCATCACTGCATACGGGGTTTATACTAGTATATCAGTTATCAATTCGATACGCAAGAGCATGCTCTAAGTATGTACAATTTCTTAAACGAGGTTTATTATTGACAAACAAGTTGATGAAACAAGAATTTCAGCAATCTTGTTTAAAGTCATTATTTCTTAAGTTCTTCTATGGTTGATACAATGATCAGTAAATACAATTTGAGATTAAGTCAAATGCTGACTTACATTTTTAATACTAATTCTAAGCTATTATTTACACACTGAATTGACGACGAATTTTCCAAACATTTCCCGATCATGACAAGAAGCACACAGCGGGTGTGACCGGTCAGCAGGATATGCTCACTCCTCCATAGCATGTGATCCAACATCTGATGTTATAGAGGTCCGTGTTTGCTTTGCCCCTGTTTTATACTGTTTAATGACCTTTTGAGCTTGAATACTGTTCGTTATCACATATTTTTCATCTGACACTTATTTCGTGTTTCCCTGAGGAAAACATAGACTTTTGTCATTATAATCATATGTGAGGCCGGGAAGGGGAGGGTATCATCGAGTGAGGTCAGTGCTCTCAGTACCTTTAGTTTGTACTGCGTCAGTTCAGCGCTTCGTAAGAGATCCGATGTGGTCTAGTGGTTAGGATTTCTGGTTTTCACCCAGACGGCCCGGGTTCGATTCCCGGCATCGGAACGAAATATTTTTCCACGGGTGCTTATTTTATTCCATCCGCTTGAAAAGTGGGAGGATGTGTAGTGATCGGAATGTCCGTCCGTCCGTCTGTACGTCCTTTCTTGTTACGCTTTTATCCGCAACTCTTCTTATACCACTGAATGAAATTTAATGAGCTTTTCACAGGATCTTTGTTATATAGTGCCATTGTATTTTACTATTTGATCCGACATACAATGTATATGTTGGGTTTCCCATAGCAAAACATGGACACTGCCATTCTTTCAATAATATTGAAAGGATCCATCTTTTTATCCACAACTTTTGTATACCTTTGAATAAAATTTAAAGATACTTTCAAATTAGATTCTATATTGTAGTATATCATTATGCACCGTCTATTTTACTTTTTGATTTGGAACTTATGTCGAGTCTCCCAGAGCAAAACTTGAACTTTGCAATTATGATCATATGAGAGGCGGGATTATCAATCAGTGAGCTCATTTCTCACAGTTCATCTAGTTTTTATTAGAGACAACTTTACCTAAATAAAGCGTTCTTTTCTATTAAGAACTTTTTCTAAGAACTCTTCATACATTTCACGCAGTAGACAAATCTAGTTTAGGGTCCATGTTTTTCATATTTATATCTCTCTTTAAATACATAAATATTATTTCCAAAGTCTTTCTACAACGGATAAAATATCTTATAGATTTACCACTTATGTGCCATATTACTGTCTATTTTGATATAAAGTTTATCAAGATAAATATCATCTTTTCAAATAAAATCTGTGATGCTCGTATTTTAAGAATACTGTAATGTTTATTTCAGTGACTGCGCTGTGAAGGAGGAATCAAAGGCAGCTCAAGATGACGAGGCAGCGAGGAAACTGTGGGAAGTATCCGCTCAATTGGTCGGACTCAAAGAATGACACACTGAAACAGGACAGGGCAAATGAAAATCTGACTTACGTCTGGACAATAAGAACATTTATATACATATGGACGAAAATGTCAGTGATTAAGGCCTGGGCAATCCGGGCATAGACATAGAAATGGACAAACAAGACTTTGACAAAGTTAAAGATAGATATATGGGTAATCAAGACACTGATATAATTTATGGACAAGCAAGACAATGACATATGTAGAGACAACAGGCACCTGACGTTACTTATTTTTTTTTTTTTTAAATAACAAGATGTGTTTGTGAAACACTGATGCCCCATATGGCAACATAGCAAAGATTAATCTTTTCTTAAACGCAAATTTAATTACCGGTAATTGGTACCAAAAGTAGGGTATTCTCATTGGAAAACAATTGTGAAATTTGAAAGTTAGCCAAGTCAATAAGTACAAAAATCTCCAAGGTCAGGGTCAAAAGGTTAATGTTATTGGTATCAAATGAAAGGTCTTGCCACATAGAATACTTATGTAGAGTATGGAAGCCCTAGCCCTAACCGTTCAGAAGTAATGGCCAAGGTTATTTTTTTTTAAGGGGGGACCTATGTCGTTCTACGTCAAAGCAGCGTTATGTGACGTTTGCTGATATTAGAAATCTCTTCCTTTGGTTGGTAAATCATAGCAATTTTAGTTGTGAAAAAATACCTCGAAAATATGCTGATATATGTGCATAAAGGTAGGATATAAATCAAGACAACAAAGAAAGCGGCTTAAATCAGGGAAATATGTGTAATTTTATGTTTACCATTAATTGTTTTTTTTTCTTGATAAAACTTAGAAAAAAATTAAGAAATATACTTGTACCTATATTTGCTTATTGATTAGTACATTTAGATTTAAATTGTATAAAGTCATTCCTAGGTTAATTCTTAAAGGTTTTGGTTGTTGTCGGGGTAGAGCGGGGGTGGGGTGGTTATTGGAATCAAAAAAGAAAAGATTAGATCAGTGTAAAGTGTTACTAATCAAAACAAAATACTTGTTTTCCGCAAAATAATTTTATATGCAGATGTTTTCCAGTGCTTACTTACCTTTGTCTTAGTGCAGAAAGGTCAATATTTATGACACAAGAGTACGAAAATAAAAGAAAACTTCATATTTCTCGTTTATTTTATCATAAAGGTATACTTTTTTCTTTATTAGAATAAAAAGATAATTCATTTCTTTCAAAAAATATGAATTACAACATTTTCACACAAAGACTTTTTAAGATATTACCTTTTATGCATGTCGGAATTGTAAAAAGTACGACAAGAAAAATGGGGTAATACTTACTTTGTGCTCCATTATTTTTTTCATGCGAGATGAATTGCAATGATTTTACCTTCATTTTAAAGATACAAGTCAAATAATTCAAATACTTGTTGATTTTGAATGTGATTTGACATTTTTGATTCTTTTTAGCGCATATTGGGGTAGAACAATAATTTCTGAAAATAATCTTTTTTTTAGCATTTCACAGTTTTTGCACGTGCTCCTGTGTAAAAATAAGCATATAAAGGTATTGTTTTTAATACCTAAAAATTAGGAGCAAGTGGCCATGAAAGAAATGTCAAAGTTTTGAAAATATCACACAAAGACTTTTTGGACATAGGTTCCCCCTTAAAGTAGGTCAAACTCCAAGGTTAAAGTCAAAGGGTCAAAGTTCTTGTTATCAAATGAAAGGTCTTGTCACAAGAATTAAATATGTAAAGTATGAAAGCTCTAGCTCTAACCCTTTAAAAGTTATGGTCAATGTTTGCTTTTTTAAAGTAGGTTAGTCTCAAAGGTCAAGGTCAAAGGGTCAAAGTTCTTGGTATCCAATGAAGGGACTTCTCACAAGGATTACACATATGAAGTAGGAAAGCCCTCTCCCTTACCGTTCAAAAGTTATGGCCTAGGTTAAAGTTTTTTCACAAGTACAAAAAATCTACAAGGTCAAGGTCAAAGGGTCAAGGTTGTTGGTATCCAATGAAAGGTCTTTCAACAAAGATTACATATTTGAAGTATAAATGTCCTGGTATCTACTATTCAAAAGATATGGCAAAAGTAAAAGTTTAAAATTTTCATGTAAAAGTGGGTCAAATTCAAAGGTCACGGTGAAAAAGTCAAACTTGGTGGTAACCAAAGAAAGGTCTTGTCACAAGAAATACAAATGTAAAATATGAAAGTCATAGCTCCACTAAATCAAAAGTTATGGGCAAGGTTAAAGTTTTTGCGGACAAACAGACAAACAGAGAGACAGACAGACAGATGGACAGACACGACAAAAACTTTATACCCCCGAAACTTAAAAACGAAAATATACCCCTACATAATAATACACTGTGTTATAAGGTAGGGGTATATTTTTATTAAAAGAAAAATAAGTAATGTCAGGTGCCTATGGTATAGACAAACAAAGCATTGACATAGATCAGGACAAACAGGAAGCTGACATAAGACTATACAAACTAGACACAGACATAGATTTAAACAAGCAAGGCACTGACCATCGTCAGATACCCATGGTGATAAGTAAAGAAGAGATCAATCATCCGTGGGTTTTCGACGATGGGCACTGACATAGGTAAAGACAAACAGGAAACCGACATAGGTCCAGACAAACTAGACAGAGACATGGATAAAGTCAAAAAGACACTGACATCTCTAGACAAACTAGACAGACATGGGTAAAGTTAAAAAGACACTGACATCTCTAGACAAACTAGACAGACATGGGTAAAGTCAAAAAGACACTGACATCTCTAGACAAACTAGACACAAGCATAGGTATGGATGAACAAGGCACCCAAACAAGACCTGACAAAGATCTTGACAATACGACATGAGCAAATAGATCTACTGTTAATAATCTATGCAAAACGTATGCAGTATTATCACGCATAATTTTATTAACATTTATAAACCTTTGTACATATTTTTTCGAGTGTTTACCTTTATAACATAGTGTTTTCTTTTTTTGTCTGACACATGTATTACTGGTTAATTTATTAAACTCTTGTACTTTGTAAAGAGGCAAAATCAAAACAACGAGATTACTTACCTGTATATCAAATGCTGATATTATTAAATTAAAAAAACCATCATGATTTTGTGTTTAATATAATTATCTACAGAATTAGAAGCTTTGATGTCCCATCTCTATGTCAAAAACCATAAACAAAAGGTGTCCCTCATGCGAGCATAGAATTTATGTTTGGAATTTACTTAGAGGAAATGCTTAAAACGCATTTTCTATAAGCACCAAAAAATCTTGGAAACGACACATGTCTCTTGTCTCCTCCTATACCACTTAAAAAATATTATCTCGCTTACTCTTTATTACATTACATTGTGCACCTCCTATTTTACTTTTTTATTTGACACTTTTTTTCGGGTCTCCCAGAGAAAAAAAAGGACTTTCCCATTATAATCATTTGGGAGGTTGGGTATCATCTTAGTGAGCTCGGTGCTCACAGTACCACTAGTATCCTGTTTACATTCGCCCATTCTAGTTGATTACTTAGTGTTCCTGTATATGGATTTTCCGTCTGTTCATTCCCCATGATGTCCCCAATTGAAAAGTGGTGAAATGTGGGAGGGTATATGGTGATCGGGATGCCTGTACGCCCGTCCGTAAGTCTAATATTCTTTGGGGTACCCATCTCTTATCCGCAACTCCTCTTATACCTCTGAATGAAATTTAATGAAACGTTCACAGAATTTTAACATAGTGCCATTGTGACATCCTATATTTGTATAGGATTTTATTTTATTTGATATATATATATATATGTATTTTATTATTTGATTTGATACCTATAGCGAAACACTGCCATTCTCTCTTTAATTACGAAGGGTCCGCGATTTCTCCTATAACATTGTAAACAATGTCTTATGAATAAAATTAAATGATACTGTCACAGAAGTGCCATTGTGCCTCTTCTATTTAACATTATGGTCTGACACTTATTTCTGGTCTCCCCGTATAAAACATGGACTTTAATTTGTCATTATAATCATATGTGAGACCAGGTGGGGCAAGGAGTATGAAATTGAGAGAGCTCAATGATCACAGTGCCTGTAGTTTGCACCGTAAACCTGTTAGATCTCAGTTATGCAAGATCCGATGTGGTCTAGTGGTTAGGATTTCTGGTTTTCACCCAGACGGCCCGGGTTCGATTCCCGGCATCGGAATGACATTTTGTTTCTCTGGTGTTATCTTTTTTCCTGTTTGAAAAGTGGGTTAGTGTTTAGTGATTGGCATGACCGTCGGTCCGTCTGTCAGTCCACGTGCGCCTTGGTTTTTGACACCCCATGTCAGAAAAAAACAAATAAAATCAGGAGTCCGAAAATTAATTATTCAGGTCAAAATTTGTGATTTCCGGCAATATCTGTAAATATTTGTATAATATTTCATTATTGGAATAGTTTCAGTATTTAATACCTTGATTTTGGTGAAGAAAATAACTTTCTTTATGAAAAATAGATAAATGAAATCATATCTTTTGAATTACGTCATTCTTATTACTATAAAATATGTGTTTTATTTTTTCTGACTTGTGTGTTTTTTGCGAATAGGTAGCTAGGTTTTTAAAAAAGATGGGTGGACGCTAAACAGAGAAAAAACTTGGAATGGCCTTATATGTATTTTACTATTTGAAATGACATATATTTGGGGTTTCATATAACAAAACACGGACACTGCCATTCTCTCTATTATATTGAAGGGTACCCATCTCTTACCCGCAAGTTCTCCGATATCACAGAATAACATTAAATGATACTTGCCATGCACTGGCAAACTGAAAGGGGGGGCTAATCGAAAGTGGGTGGAGGCGGGGGGGGGGCTAAACCAGCAAAAAAGGTAAACCCCCATTTTCAATGCCTATATAATGTATATTTTTGCTAAGCCCTCCCCTGCCCCCCCCCCCGCCCCAAAGTTCCGACGACTATGTTGCCATTATAATCATATCTGAGACCGGGAGGGGCGGGTATCATTGAGTGAGCTCATTGCTCACAGTGCCTATGCCGTGTACCGTAAACTCGTTAGTTCATGGTTTTGTAAGACTCGTTGTGGTCTTCCACCCACACGGCCCGGGTTCGATTCCCCAAATCGAAACGACATATCTTTTTCTCGGGTGTTTTATTTCATTTTCCCCGCTTGAAAAGTAGGAGGGTGTGTAGAGATTGGGATGTCCGTCCGTCCGTCTGTTAGTCCATTCATGTTAAGCTTTTGGGTACCCTTTTTTAAATCCTCAACT